TGATGATGATGATGGTGATGATGATGATGATGGTGGTGATGATGAGGGGAGGATGATGATGATGGTGATGGTGATGTTGATGATGATGATGATGATGATGATGATGATGATGGTGCTGCTGATGATGATGATGACGATGATGATGATGGTGATGCTGATGATGATGATGTTGATGTTGATGAGGACGATGATGATGATGATGATGATATGATGATGATGGTGTCCCGATGATGATGATGATGATGATGATGATGATGTCGATGATGACGATGATGATGACGATGATGATGATGCTGATGGTATCCCGATGATGAGGATGATGATGATCATGATGATTATGTTGGTGATCATGATGATGACGATGAGGGTGTCCCGATGATTTTTTGTTCAAGACCACGCTTCGCCTTCAGTCCCATCAGTAAAGCACCCTGGGAGGGCTGTCATCGAGGTGATACCGTTCAACTGGCCCATGCTCACGGCGAACGGTAGAGACAAGAGCAGGACGGTCAAGAGTACGCCGAAAGGCGGCCTCCTCATCAGAAATACCTATCACCCGCCGAAGCTGTCGAAGCCGCTCCAGTTCCGAGGCCAAAACACGTTTGTGCCCAGACGGTGTGAGCGAAGAGGCCGAAGAGTCCGCACGAAGGCCATCAGGATGGTGAACAGATTGGGGCACGCCATCTCCAGGAATGTGCGCAGTATGATGGTGCACAGGACGGACAACATCACCATGAAGATCCTGCCCAGGCTCTTCAGGAACATTGGAGCAAACATGATGGACACTCCGAATCCCCACATCTCCAGGAAGAGCCCCAACCAACACGCTACGTTCTGAGGGTAGCGGAGGATCATCACGGGGAGGAATAGCAAAAGCACGGTCAATACTCTCGCCAAGCTTCTCAACCATCGAGTCAAATATCCGCTGAAAACCAGTGAGATCCATCTCGCCAGGAACGACTTCCGCAGAACGGTCGGCAAGTACACCGAACTCCCCCGTATCAACACGGTCAGCTCCATCAGGCATGGCAGAACTAGGAGTAGCCCCAATACACGCGGCACGACCAACCCCCTCATACAAGTCATCACGTAAACGCCCACCGAGAGGATCATCACGCTCCTGATCGGACCAATAAGGCGCATGAAGGAGTACGGCACGCTCGTCAGGAAGACCAGGGAAATGTTCACAAGGAGGAGCAGCCTCAGGATGGACACGAAGATCAGGCTGACTACGAAGACCAGGCTCCACACGAAACTCAGGCTCAGCACGAGGACCTGGCTCCCGAAAAACAGGCCCCAGACACGAACGATCAGGCTCGGGGGCGCCGGCACAATCACCATGAAGATCATGAGGAAAATCAGGAAACTCAGCAGGAAGCCCAGGACCACGAAGCACATGCTCCCCAGAAAGATCTGGCGCCCAACGAATACAAGAGGGATCGCGAAGAACAGGTTCCACACGAAAACCAGGCTCAACATGACGACCATGCTCGACACCGAGGCAATGGAGTAGGGCACGCTCCACACGAAGAACAGGCTCCATATGAAGATCATGCTCCACACGACGATCAGGCTCAGCACGAAGAACAGGCTCCACACGAAGAGCAGGCTCCGGCAGAACATTCTCCAAAAACGAACGACCATGCTCTGGAAGAATTTCAGCACGCCCCCCATGAAGACAACAGGAAGCAACTTCAAAGAGATCGTCAGAAGCAGCATGCCCAATCACATACTCCGGAGCCCCAGCAGCCTCAAAGCACCAGGCAAGAACCTCGTCCGAGTACAACAGGGGGAGCCCAGGAACGAACTCCTCTGCAGCAGCACGCAGAGATGAGGAGCGCCTCGCAGTACCCGCAGTGGTAGGCCGCCAACGCTGATGCCGGGCAGCATTGGCATGGCGCACAACACGTTCAACTTCATACAGTACCGCTCCTTTGAAAATGCCGCGATCTGCCGCCCAACGCACCATGTCATGAAGAGAACGTCGGTGAGGAGCGCCGTGAAGGACTTCGAGACCGTATTGTAGAAGTACCCCTCTCCGTAAAGCTTGAACCCGCCGATGGACACGGTCATGAGGGGCACGGTATGGAACAACACCACACTGGCAATCCCGTAGACGCACGATCGACTCGCAAGCGTCGTGAAACTCAGCACAAGT